CAGGATAGGTTGAACTAGATTCGTAGTATACCCCCCTGCTCCGGAGCAGGATAGGTTCCAGGATAAGAGATCAACTGTGCAGAGTTCTTCTTTTTCTTCTTCTCCTTTGCTTTAACAGCGATGAATCGCTTCCACTTGGAGCATGTATAAACTGCCCGTATTGTTCATGTAGAACAGTGTTCACGTAAGCCTGATTGATTTTATTTTTCATTGAATGTAACCGTTTCAATAAGGATAAATCTATTACTGCCACAACATAAGTAACCAGATCAAAGTAACATTACGTTGCCTACAGTCCGCGGCACTGTGAGTGCAGACGTCGATGTGTCCCATTATCGTTCATATCATATCACATCATATGTATCATATATTTCCTTATCTGAGTCAGCTGAGCCGTATCTGGCCGTGCAACACTCACAGTGTCACATACGGTATGCAGAAACATTATTTTAAGCAACACATTAAGTTGACGAAACACTCGAGTCAAATCATAAACCTGTTAATGTACGCATTCAAACTCTTTTTTTTTTACCAGCTGTATTCACCTTGCAGGTGCAACTATGTGGCTTTTATCCTGGATAAAGTTTTTAAGTCATGGATGTTTAAAGTTTAACTTCTTCATATTTGTCTAATATTATAGTTTACTTTTCATTCAGGAAGTATGACTCTGCGCTGTGATTGGTCAAATGTTGCTAACCCCGCCCCTTTCATGTGAACGCGCACTCAGCCGGACAGAGAAACCCTGGCTTGAGTTACCGAGTTGATAACCAGCGTCGTAGGACCGCTTAGCGAGTGCGCGCTTGTTTTGGGTTAGTTGAGCCAGATAACTCAAACATATCCAGGGTCTGTTGAACTGGATTCGTAGTACAGGCCTCTGGGGTACATATCTATCATTGTTGATTGTTGATTTCTGCCTCTGTTTTTAATACAGTAGTGCGGTTCTTCTTATTTCTCAGCAGTTTATGGTTTTTTGGTATTACTTATTTCATACCTTTTACAAGATGGGAGAAGAAGAGGCCAGTATATTCATGTGGAGATGTTATAGGAGAAACAGTGACTGATCAAACTGATTCCACTCTTGTATGTTTTCCTGAAGGAAGTCTACATCCTTGTAGTGTCAGCACAGATCAGTCCTCATTTACATATGAGAACGATTTAGCATTGTGACTGGGAAGCTTTAGAAAGGGCTGTCTCAAACCTGTCATAATTGGCCTTACAGATTACAATGTTGCGAGTTGATGGGTCTCTAGATGCTGATTTAAATTGTATGATAGCTTTTTTAAAGACGAACATGTTTTCATTTTTGCTCTAAAGTGGTCTGAACTGATAAAAAAGGTCTTGGTGTTCAGTAATGCAGGAGAACCAGTTGATTTGAAGTCATTAATTTAACACCACAAACCTGATCTGATTGTTGTCTGTCTGTAAAAATATTGAACCGTTCTCAGTCTGGTGCAACTTGCCCAAATATTGCAACAAAGCCAAACTGACAGTCAGAGCGCAGACAGGAGAGAGGTGAGTGACGGACAGCTGCAGGTAGGCGGGGTGCTGACACAGATAGTGAGAGAGAGCAGAGAAGAACAACAGTCGTCTAAACATTCAGATCTCTGAGTCGGGGTTGGCCCTCGTCTTGGCACAAATACCTTGGTTACACCCCTATTCACAGATGTTTATTCAAAACCTACATTTATTTCAAATATTTTAAACAGACAGTTATACAAATGTCAAATATAGGCAGAACCTTTTTGCTGGGGACTGATGATGAAAACTACTCTCATTTCTGTATAAGGCAGGGTGATATGTGGCGTCTCGTTTAAGGATATTTCACATTTTCACAAAATTAATATGTATGAATGCAGCTTGTGTTAACTTAAAATGTCTACATCAGAAGGTCCTTATATTGTCTGAGTATTGTCTATTTTGAAAGGACACAGGGGTGTGGTGATGTAACCTTATTCAAAATAACCTTGATATTTAAAGGATGAACCCCCCCCCCCCAGCTCTCACATTTGTGTTCCACTTAACCTTCATTACATGTGCAAACATTTGTGGTGTGTTTCTTTGTTGTGTGTGTGTGTGTGTGTGTGTGTGTGTGTGTGTGTGTGTGTGTGTGTGTGTGTGTGTGTGTGTGTGTGTGTGTGTGTGTGTGTGTGTGTGTGTGTATGTGTGTGTGTGTGTGTGTGTGTGTGTGTGTGTGTGTGTGTGTGTGTGTGTGTGTGTGTGTGTGTGTGTGTGTGTGTGTGTGTGTGTGTGTGTGATTAGTCGTAGTGCGAGGCCCCTCGATGGATAGCCTGGACCCTGAGAGCCTGTATGCGTCTCCAGAGCAGACGGGACAGCCCCTCCCCACCTCCGAGGTCTCCAACTTGGCACTAGGGGGGTAAGAAGCTCCAACAGCCATTTGGGGGGGGTTATGGAAAATCTGTGGACCACCAGGACCCCCTGCCCACAGCATGCAGCCATGTATCACACAGTCAATAGAGGGAAGTTTTGACAGATTATTGTAGCCACCGGGAGTTAGTAAGGGCTCCCTCCACAAAAGCTCTGAGATTTTTCAGCCTTTTTTTTTTTTTTTTTTCGGAAAATTGCTGAAAATAATCTCTTATATTAACACCACTTTTACTGATTGTTAAAGTGCTGTTATGTACTGAACGATTATAAACAAACTACAGCACGGTCACATGACCTCACGTCACCACTCCAAAGCTAAAGGTGGCTAATGTTCAGCATGATGACCTTTAGTAGAATCATTTAAACTCGTAGAAACCACTAAAACGTTTCAGACATTTACCACTTATGTAATACAAAACATGAAAATCTGTTAAGCTTGTGTTAACCACATATCTTATTTTAGGCATTTATCAAAAAACGAATTCAGAAAACATTGACTTCAGACGACGTAACCCAACGTGCTGAAATGCTAACACATTTCTGGGTTATAGGACTCATTTCTTCATCACTCCATATCAGGTCCATATATAAATCTACACACAGCAAAATGCATACCAAAAGTTCTTAGCCAAACAGCAAGTAAAAATGTAATCTAATGCTTTAAATGCTAAATGAGACCTACCAGTTAGCATGGTCTGATATCTAGCTCCATGTTTTTGATCGTCATGGCGTCTTACTATTAATATAACTCATTTGCTACATTACAAATGAGTTGTAGTTATTGCTTAAAATAGGGTGAAAACAAACAAAAAACTCCAAATCGAGTAGGCCTGGCAAACGTGCAGAGGTTTGTGACTGTTGCTCAGATATGTTTGTGTGTTGGTATTAACCTCACGATGCTGCATGACACATGACAAACTGGCCTGTTGGTAAACTGGGAGCAGTGCTGGAACATTCCATTCAGATAGTCAGAGCAGCTTCCTCTCAGAGCGGCAGAGCGTCCTCTCTGCACTTCGTGAGAAGATGGAGTGGAGCCCCACTCCCCATTGGATGTGTGACTCTTTGTCATACTGTTTGACAAAATCTTTAGGTATCAAACTAGCTTACATTTTGTCCGACTCCTAACATTAGTAGAAGCCTAACATTGACATATTGTACAATCTTTGTCTTTATGATAATTATCTCTAACATTATATTTCTCACTGAATAGCTAGAGGCACTACATGATTGTATGATAAGTATTCCAATTCATGTGTTCAAACCTGTTCAAATATAAAAATAGACCACTCTGCTTCTTCTAACAACACCGCTCTTATTTTAGTGTAGAGCGTCAGATCGGATATGGAGGGCAAGCACGCTTTGGCTAAGTGCAGTGTCGGTGTTTCTCATATTGTCTGTTATCACAGTGGTGTTATCATATGGCCTCCACTACTGCAAGTTTGAATAATGCTGCAACACTATCATCAGTACGCCATTCAAAGGCAGGACAAGTTTGCAACGTTTTGCTAGCCATCACAATATGTGCGCTGTAATGGAGATATAGCTGTGATAAGCAGGTCCCCATTATCGTTGGGATAAGGATAAAGTTTTCCATCTGATTTATCTGAAAAGATCTTGAAATAGGGTTTTGTTATTTCACAAACTTTGTTTATTAGCACCGTGCTTTCCTGGGTTGTGCTGTCATGTTGCAAAATGAAAAGGCCCCAGTGTGGATGAAAACAAAGTGCAGCATTATGGGGTTGAGTCCAGCCAACAACCACCTGAAGGCAGGGTGTTGTTTAGTGCAGAGTTGATCTCAATGCAAAGGTGTGGGGGTCTTTGTGTGTGTGCTGTGGGTTGCACAGAGACAAAGGCCAGTGTCATTTGACATTGGCTTCCTTCTGTTTTTACACACATGAATCACACACAAACCACTGCAGGCTGCAGGACAACAGGGTAAACAGAGCCCCCCATCTGGCCGGAACCTAATTGTTAGCCCCTGGTGTGGCTAGTCCAGGGATTAGCTACTGGCTGGGGAGTACTATTCACTCCCTCTTTCATTCCCCCTGCCCACTGGGCCTTATCACCATCAATCTGACACCATGTTTATCTGACGCTGCAGCCAGATCTGCTGGCCTAGGAGAAATGTTCACAAAGGCCGTGGACCATCAGCACTTTGATTGTGGGAGCCCAAATGGCCATTACTTCTCTGGCCCCAGTGATCCCAGCAGCCCCCCATGATCTGCATGCAGTGGTCAGTCCCCTTCCCAGAACCTGGAAAGGCAACCTGAAGGCCTGTCACTTTGTCTGTCATTTGTTCCTCCATCGCAACGAAGGCGGTGCAGCCACTTTGTGTTTGTGTGTCTGTGTTCCACTGGACGGGTTCTCCATGTGCATTAGTTTGTTGCGGCACACTGTTTTTCTCTTCCTTTTGTGCACTGCCCTTATTATACCCTTCGCCAGGGACCTACCAATAAGTGTACCATCTGGAGTTTACCACCATCACCTGATCTGTGCATCCATTTAGTGCAACTGTCCTGTTGTGTTCAAAGAAGAAGGAGAAAGAAACACATTTTGGCATCATGGCTTCTTTTAAGTTGGATTTCCTCCCTGAGATGATGGTGGATCACTGCTCTTTGAATTCTAGTCCTGTGTAAGTAGCTCGCTCTGATCACTTTGTGAGTATTCAATGTTTCCTAGGGTTGTCCTATGTTGCTGGAAATCAGTTTGAATGGATTTGTCTATTTGAAGGGCTTTATTCTGATTTAAATGGTAGCAGTATTAGTCATGAGCAGCTGTGTTGTAGTGTGTAGGGTGATGAAGCCCTCCAGTTGTTTAAATGTTCTTCCACGCAGCACTTCAGTGAAGAAGAGGTGTTGAAATAACTTCCTATACCTTTCTTTAGGCTATGTATTATTTTGAATGAGTTTGGATCCAGCTCAGATGGTAATACGCTCCTGTTCTGATGGAAAACTGTCTGTTATTCTTTACAAAAAGGGTTATATGCTAAAGAAATAACCCAAAAACGACCTCATATTAACAATGAATGCCTCTCGCACTAGTTGTAATAACTCATTCATTTATTTCAAAAAAAGCAAATTTGATCAGAAACATTGATTGTCAAGCCTGCAGTAATGTCACATTATTGAAGTATTTAGTCTCAAGTGATTTGGTACTGTGTGTTGCCCTGGTACTGCCACTTTTGGGCCTTTTGAACTAGTGCCTTAGCCATAATGTTTTTTTACATTTCTCATACTGAGCAGGACATAAAGAACACTTTTGATGGAAAAACATATCAGAAACTACATCCACAAGCATCACAGGGAATGAAATAACTGAAAAGAACCACACACACATAACACATATTTATAAAACAAATGTAGACAATGAAAAACATGTAGCTCTGCAGCATGTTGACATGTGGGCCCCTGTGACATGTGGGCCCCTCAACTCCTTGTCTCCCTCTGTGACTGACATGCCGTGACGTTAGCTAGCTTTCAAAGGAGAAAACTCTCCCATTAGAGGCATAAATACGTAAAGCATGTTGACACAATGGCTCTAGATGATTCATTTTGAAAAACGAAATGTTGACAAAAGCAAGATTACATTGTTGAATGTATTCAATGTAATGCAATGTCTAAGCCATGGACATTTGAATGATGCGTAGTTAGCATGCACATGTATAACAGGCACCAGGAGTGTATTCAATCTTTGTATTCTGAGCTGGCATTGGTTGCTTTGTGACAGCCACAACCCCAGCCTTCATTTGAGTTCATATGGAGGTTCTACATCATCCTCTGGCACCTAAGCAGTGCCCAAAATCAATAAAACATGATTAGAGCATAATTGAACATTTCAATTATGGAAATAAATGGTACAAATGCAGCAAATATTTCATCCGAAATGATAATAAAACTCTGAAGTACCTGTTTGTGTGGGCAGAGATTCAGAGGTGCACCAGAACAATCACATGAGGGAGGCAATAGTTGAATCAAGCCGCTGCTGAACCATTTCAACATGTAACGTGTAGTGAAATGAACCGCTCTGCCAATAACACTACACATACTAGTCATACGTTTTAAAACATATCAAAAGTAACTCAATATATTTGAAGACTAGGGATAGTGAAGGCTCTCTACACACTGGTGATGTATTGGATAAATAAACCTGAAAACATGTCTTATTCTGAAATGAAACGTCCTAGGGTCATTTCTGCTTCTGGTATAACATCCCTCTGCTGCCTCTTTGTCACTTAGTCACTTAGTGAATAATTATTAGAATATTAATAAATCATTGTAATTGAACACATGGCAACCAGTTAAGGCCAGCTTCTGATTGAGAGGTACCGCTCCTCCCCTGTCACACATCACACTGGAAGCATATACATCCATATTCTGCAGGACAAGTCGGATTATCTCATTGATCATTTTTCAAATCCTTCTTAACTTTGTTAAATGTTTTCCAACGTTTCATGTTTGATTCTTCAAATGCATTATGTACAGATGCGACTATCACATTTTGCATTTTACTATTTCAAGTGTAAGATAGTAGACTGATTATGAGGTTTTGATTGATGTGATGATGTAAACACCTTCACTTAACACTCTCAAATCGTTTCTACCTATCATTGTATTAATCAATCCAACCAATCAGCACATGTGTTTGAGCTGTGCAGTCAATTCCTCTGCGTTCCTCCAGACAATACCATGGTTTCCTCAGGAAGGTCTTTTGGTCATTTTCTATGCCATTGGTGATATAGTACATGGAAAATGGCTGGTTGGGATTGCACACAGAAAATCTATGAATACAATAAACAGCAGTATATATTATAGTTTGTGCATCATAGGAAATCCATTTGTGTTATTGAAGCAGCCAGTAAATAAGTACACTGGTTATATTATATACAAGTTATATTATGTTCAATCCATTTACAGAACTGATCTGGTCTTGGTAGTTTGAATGTTCAACCTCTGACCACAGACCGTACATGAGACGTTGCACCGTATCGCCTATTGGTTTGTTGTCCACCGACTTTAAAGCCTTGAGTATGGCCATCATTATTTTGCAACCAGAAGTGATCCAAGAGCTGAACAAAACATTTTTAAGCAACCATAATGTTACATTACATTTCATGAAGTGAAATCCCACTTTTTAATGGTTAAAAAAACACAGTGCAATTACATGTACATTACAATTGAATGGCTTTTATCAATACTGTGAAAGATAGAAGTGTGATGCAGGTTTCTTGTATTTGTATAGGAACAAATTGCAGTGCCGGTTCGACATGTGTGAGCCCCGCAGCTTCTTGGGTTTTGAAGTGAATGCGCACGTTAACGGTAGCATTGCTACAGCCTATGCATAGTAAGTAAAAAGTCAAAGCCCCCTGTGGGTGTGTATGGTCCAGTTTTACATATCTCAGATGTTCTTGCAAAGTCATCCAGTGGACCGGATTTAGCCTTCAGTGGACGGTTCAGTTTGAGCCCGCTGCCCTGCAGACCCTGACCCCAGGCAGACGGTGGGCTCACATCATCGGCAGCCCCCTGTAGGCCCCTTTATGCCATAGTTGACTACTTTCAGCTGAATGAACTAAATTCTTCCTGGCCCCGTCAGTAAGAGAGATCATTCTGATCGGATTTCAGAGTGTCATAGTTTTTCTGGAAAATAACATTCCTTTTTAATCTTTGGGTTGTTGCTCATTTCAGGAATGTGTTTGACCTCTGAACTTTCTGTGCTTTTTTTGATGGCAGCTCTTCATCCATTATCTTTCTGTATTCATTGTTTCCTCTAGGACTTTTCAGCAGAGTATAAGAGGGTTTTGTTTATCTATAACAGCGCCATGCAGATGTATGTTATAATATACTAGTGCGTGTTCTAGCATATATAGTTACTTATCCATATAACCATGGTATGGGTATGTCAGTGTAATATGACTTTCTGTACACGGAGCAGCCAAACCTAATGCTTTAAGACTGGAGAAATATGGGATTAGTATATTGTCCAGAGGACTTCGACATGTTACTGTGAGGGTGGCATCAAAATCAAAGAAAATCTTACCAACTTTGTTGTATCTTCTGCTGTTATAATCACATTTGAGATCTTTTCTACCAGCCTCCATGTTACAGTTTGTATGTATTCATAGATATCTGTAGTGTTTGTACAGAGAAACCACCTCAATCTTGTTTATATTTCTCAATGAATACCTGCCTCTATGTGATATATACTCAAGTCGTAGAAATAATGAGTCGAATATGTGATGATTATTATCTGACGTTAATACTCAGCATCATAGTTTCATAAAAGAAGAACACTATGAGCATCCCCAATTTCCTTCAAATCAACTGTTTTGAACCTTAGTCTGTTGGAGAATATTTGCAGTTATAAGTTACAATATGTTATTAGAAATATGGTATTGCGTCTAACTCACATTTGTGTTTTCAGTGGGAAGAAGATGAACGGGTCTCTGGATCACCCCGACCAGCCAGACGTTGATGCCATCAAGATGTTTGTGGGGCAGATCCCTCGCTCCTGGTCGGAGGAGCAGCTGCGGGAGCTGTTCGAGCCGTATGGAGCCGTCTACGAGATTAATGTCCTCCGAGACCGCAGCCAGAACCCTCCGCAGAGCAAAGGTCAGCCTTGAGAAACACACAAACACACACAGTTCAGTTTGAAGGAGTCTAGCATGTCATTTGAAGTTTCAAGTGATTGACATTGTGACATCATTGGGGTTCAGATACCGTGCCTCCCAAACATCCTAATGCTGAACAATGAGTCTCTTCTCTATTATAACCATCATAACAAACTCTTGGTTTTGCTAGCTTAACTGGAGCCCAAAAGATCCTTAACACACAATGGAAACCTCAACATATTCTTTTATTAATCACAGAAAATGGGGTTTCCTTGCCTTTGATTTATTTTTCTGTATTTTCATTTGTATATAGGCTATGTGAATATTTGTGCCATCTTCTTGAGTTAGTCACAAAAAGATCTGGGCTGATATTGCATTATGCATTATCCTACATAAAGAACTTACAACATGAAAAGCCTTTATTTAACTTGGCTATACAAATGGTTTGGGTTCTGTTTGGGTGTGCCTCGAGACATGGAACACATCTGTTTGATCAAAGATCACTATGGCTGCCCAGCATAGCCTCCACAAAGCACACAGTATGCAGTGAGCGTAACTCAAGTCTCTTTCCCTTCCCTGCAGGCTGCTGTTTCATAACGTACTATACTCGCAAATCAGCCCTGGAAGCCCAGAATACACTGCACAACATGAAGATTCTCCCAGGGGTAAGTGAACGCCTGCTCTCTGTGGACCACACTGTTTCGACAACATTTGCAAAGTGTGTGTTGACAATGAAAACTGTTGCACTAAATAATCTGACGTAGATGTTAAGTTAAGTGTTTTATTTAAGGAATAACAAGTTGCTTTAATGTTGCTTATGGTCTTGTTTGCAACTTTTCAAAAAATGGAGTCAGGACATTTTGAAAAATAGACACAACATGGTGACACAATATCCCTTTGAATATCACCAGAACAGGAGTGTGTGATTCAGAGGAGAGGGGGCGGTAGAGGACAACAGACTTGACATTAGGGACCTTTTGTTTTCTTAGAGGATTACAGGAACACACTCAAAATGCTTTTTATAACAATAGATACAATATTGTGAAAGCATTGTCCCTGCAGTATCTGATCACAGGTGGCTATTCATCACAATCTAACATTCTTTTATTTGTCCTTATTTTCCTAAAAACAAATGAGTGGGGAATAAACCTTTCAAACGTTTATTTTGTGAAGAACAAGTGGCCTTCTTCATACTTTACTCTCTGCCCTGTAGTCCAGACATGAAACTCTGAAACTATATTTCACAAAAGAAATACTAATGTGTCATTTGTTCCTTTGTTCAGATGCACCACCCAATCCAGATGAAGCCCGCTGACAGTGAGAAAAACAATGGTAAGGATTTGACATCCTCCTCTTTCCTTTATTACTCAATCCCTGTTGACTTTAGTAGCTGCATCCATACTGATACGGATGTGTTTATGCTCAGGATGAACAGGATGAATTATTACAGCAAGCAAAACCTTTCAGTCTTTAGAAATGACCAATAAGAATCCTTTAAGAACTGCAGAGCTCAGCTGTTAGAAGACATTGTCCTCAACTGAGCGCTTTCAAGTTCATAACATGGCTTGCTAAAGAAGCCATAATAAAACATTTATGCATGTTGAATATGGCACCATTTACCTTGACACAGAGCAGGTGTGTTTGATGTTGTGTTGTGTTGAAAACAGCAGTGGAAGACAGAAAGCTGTTTATTGGAATGATCTCCAAGAAGTGTAACGAGAACGACATCCGGCTGATGTTCTCTCCGTACGGACAGATAGAGGAGTGCCGGATACTGAGGGGCCCCGACGGACTCAGCCGGGGTGAGTCATATGTTCCTCTTAAACACACACACACACAC